AGTGTTGTGACTGTTCTCACTTTGTGAAATAAAATAAATGAACTTAAGGGCCCAGTGTGTAATAATCAATGTAGTTTGTTGCACATAGCACAACAAACCTAGAGAAAAATTGAACCTAATATTTATGAATGTGTTCAAATAAGAATATAATCATTTAACTATTAAAATCGTTTTGCGTTTAACTACTTAGAATAAGCCTTGGCTTTTATTCATACATTCATACACCTGACCGCTTGCTTCCCAATTTTACACAATGAACCTTAAACCAAACATAGCCTTAAAGATAGCCAGCCACACACACACACACACACACGCACACACACACACACACACACACACACACACACACCGTAGTTACTGTTGCCATGGTCACACACACCATAGTTACTGTTGCCATGGTCACACACACCATAGTTACTGTTGCCATGGTCACACACTGTAGTTACTATTGTCATGGTCACACACATCATGGTAACTGTTGCCATGGTCACACATCATGGTTACTATTGCCATGGTCACACACCATGGTTACTGTTGCCAAGGACACACACACCATGGTTACTGTTGCCATGGTCACACACACCATAGTTACTGTTGCCATGGTCACACGCCGTAGTTACTGTTGCCATGGTCACACACACCATAGTTACTGTTGCTATGGTCACACACACCATAGTTACTGTTGCCATGGTCACACACTGTAGTTACTGTTGCCATGGTCACACACCATGGTTACTGTTGCCATGGTCACACACTGTAGTTACTGTTGCTATGATCACATACCGTAGTTACTGTTGCTATGGTCACACACACCGTAGTTACTGTTGCCATGGTCACACACGGTAGTTACTGTTGCCATGGTCACACACACCATAGTTACTGTTGCTATGGTCACACACACCATAGTTACTGTTGCCATGGTCACACACACACCATGGTTACTGTTGCCATGGTCACACACACCATAGTTACTGTTGCTATGGTCACACACCGTAGTTACTGTTGCCATGGTCACACACACCGTAGTCACTGTTGCTATGGTCACACACACCATAGTTACTGTTACTATGGTCACACACCGTAGTTACTGTTGCCATGGTCCGCACCGTAGTTACTGTTGCCATCGTCACACACACCATAGTTGCTGTTGCCATGGTCACACACACCATAGTTACTGTTGCCATGGTCACACACACCGTAGTTACTATTGCCATGGTCACACACCATACTGTTGCTATGGTCACACACCATGGTTACTGTTGCCATGGTCACACACACCATGGTTACTGTTGCCATGGTCACACACCGTAGTTACTGTTGCCATGGTCACACACACCATGGTTACTGTTGCCATGGTCACACACACCGTAGTTACTGTTGCCATGGTCACACACACTGTAGTTACTGTTGCTATGGTCACACACACCATAGTTACTGTTGCTATGGTCACACACACCATAGTTACTGTTGCCATGGTCTCTCTCTCACACACACAGACACAGACACACGCGCACACACACACACACACACACACACACACACACACACACCAGTGTTTACTGTAATGGAAGCAATTCATTTGTCTTCAGTCATACTTTAAGTGAATAGAAAATAAGTCACTCCTCTCTGCTGGCACAGTGATAATAATAAAATAACTGGAACCAAATGGACCCTTACGGGTTAATTTGGCTCTTATAGCTCATCATCAGTCATTTGTCTGGCCTAGGCTCGGTCCCCATCCTGAGAAGCAGGCCAGAGCAGACCACTTGTGGGCCAGGCCACTGGGGAACTTCCCGGTTATCCTGTGGGCCAGTCCGGGCCTGTGAGGTGGACATGATAACCCTTAATACACATAATGTTATTCATCCCTACAACAGGAAATACTTTTTCCCTAACCTGATATGAAGTGTGCGCTGCACTTGAAATCTGGATCTTTTTCATCACGAGTTTTAATTTTGTATCTCTGAGTTTTGTTTGTTTCCCTCCTGCAGATCATCGTGCTGCTGAACAGAATCCAACATGCTCAGAAATTGTGAGTCTTTATTTTTATACTAAATATGATCGACTATGAATCTGCTGTTCATCTGTTTCTCCAGTCCTTGTTACATCCTTCCTTACTTCCCTCCTCTTTCCTCCTCTCTCCTTCCTGCAGTAAAAAGATCCATGGCAAAGGGAAGGTGGGCGGTCGCTGGAAGTAAAGGAGGGAAAACCTCCAAAAAACACAGAAATGGAGGCAGTATATGAACAGAGGAATCACATATTTCCTCTCCATGGTTTCTTAGTGTCAGGGCCGCTCTTTTGGCGTTTCCTGTGTGTGTGACAGATATTGACTCTTTCTTGATAAGATGTATTGATAATAAAACGACATGCACTCAGTTTGGAGTTGTCACTGTTACATTGTTATTGGATTATTTTGAAGTTGTGAACTTACAACCTTAAAAGCAAGGTCAACTAAATATTTTTTTTGTCTTGAAGTTGTCCCTAACGCAAATGTCAGTCATGTCAGTCGCTGCCTGTGAGCTGCAATCAAACTGTCAGACAGCGCTGATTCTGGTTTGATGTAAATGTCGGGTTCACACTACATGACATCAGCCCGATTATAGTCCGATGTGCCATCGTATAACGTCAGCTTGGATCGTTAACGACAGCGAGTGTCGTACATGATTCGAGCCGACACTGTATTCTCGGGTGGTGTTAGACATTGTCTTGACATTGAATTTTGGTCACCTGATGTCACAACCTACATTCAACCAAATATCAGTGTCTGGGTGTGCTCACCTTTATTTCTCAGATAACTTAAGATCCAGACGTTAGGAGGTTTTTACCAGGAGCCAAATTATCCACAGACGTCTCTTCCTCTCCAAACAAACAGACCAGCTGATTGAAACTGGTAAAAACACTGAATGTTTCATATTAAAAATCTGTTTTTCCAACACTGCATGTCACGGAGGGGCCGCTTATTATGGTGGCCAAAATGCAAAAACGTGAAAATGCAAATGTCTCTATCTCGAGCCAGTGTTTGGTTTGTCCGTTCTGGGCTACTGTAGAAACATGGCGGTGTTAGTAGACGAGGACCTGCTCCCTATGTAAATATAAACAGTTCATTCTAACGTAACAAAAACACAACCGTTCTACAGGTGATTATACACTGAAGAAAACATACTTATTATATTATATTCCATTTCTGCTAATATGTCCCTCTGAATCCTTCACACTGGAGCTCTAACGTAACGTCCACATCAGATAGAAAAATGGGCAAACGTGTGAAATAATGACAAATTAGACCTCATTTTGAAACATAACTTCCATCTTGTGACTTTACTGGATTGTTTTTCCAGTAGTTTATTGTGCTTTCAGTGTCGTTGGTGAACACGGTGTGTTTTTCCTTCTGTTTCTTCTTCTCTCCTGTCTGTGGTAATTATGTTTCCTGTCCGACCCCTCTAATTCCTGCCTCACATGTTTGGCTCACTGCGTGAGACAAGGACTAAAGAGGACACACTGTTAATCTGGTCTTTCACTCACTGCATCAAATCAGCACACACACACACACACACACACACACACACACACACACACCACTGACCTCGGTGAAATCAGATGTATCAGTAAGCGTTACGCTCCCTTTGGGCAGTGAGGACCTCAGTTTGTCCACAAAAAGCCTCCATGTTAATTACTGGATTAGTGGGACAAACAGTAACAGTGATCAGAGGGTGAAGGATTAGTTACTCTCTGAAAATTACAGTCAGCGGTTCAGTTCCTCTGACAACTCGTGTCACAGCACCACTGATCGTATTAAAACCCTGCCTGAAGCAGCAGGAATATTTTATGGTTTAGAGTTTTCTATTGAAAATGGTGAATCTAACTGGTTCTACTGGTGTGTGTGTACGTGTGTGTAACTTTATGCTTGTGTGCAAAGAAGGGATATCATGTTCGCACATGAGGGTATTATAGCGTGTGTGTGTTCACATGTAAATCCATCCATCCGTCGAACCATCTGTCATCGTTTGGAAACGCTTTATTCATTCAGCTATTATTTACAATCACTTTGTGTGTATCGAAAGTGAAACCTCAATCAGTTTTACATTATCTTATGATATAACACACACACACACACACACACACACACACACATAAACACACACACACCACAGCCCAGTCACCAGTGTGAAATGTTGGCACTCTACATTTCTGCAAACCACAGATAGGTTGCATTTGTCTGTTTCATATGTGTCACATGAATGTTTCTAAAGATTACATGTGTGTGAGCTGAGTGTCTCATCAGGAGGTGGAGGGGCTGGTGGATGCAGACATGTCCAGGTGTTTTTTGTGCCTAAACCTAACCACATGTTAACCACAGTGTTGCCACAACATAAAATTCTAGAATCTAGAATTACCGCCATGTGGTTGTATGACTCCGATTAGAGTCACCAATTCAGTATCTGAGCAAATGTCTCCCCTTCTGTTCCTGAGATATGACGTTAAAACATGATGATGTCACAGTCAAGCTGACCTTTGACCTTTTGACCTTCATTATTTTACCCTGTTAGACATTTGTGTCAAGTTTGGTCATAATTAGTGTATGAATTCTTGAGTTATGGCCAAAAACATGTTTTGTGAGGTCACAGTGACTTTGACCTTTGACCACCAAATTCCTATCAGTTCATTGTTGAACTGGACGTTTGTGCCAAATTTGAAGAAATTCCCTGAAGGTGTTCTTGAGATAACACATTCACGAGAATGGGACAGATGGACGGACGGACATATTGCCTCCAGTTATGGCATATACAACATAAAGACACATAAAGCTCAACATATCTGCTCCACATGAAGCGCACAAATATGACGTATCGGTGGTTTCAAGAAGCAAACAGTACCAGCATTCATTGTGGTGACTGGGCTGAACATCAGTGTTCACACTCACCAGACAAACAGCATCAACACTCACTCAAACACAAGCACAGAAGGAGACACAGAGACACAGAGCGAAACATGAAACTAAATCATTTCACAGGAAAATCAAGTTTAAATTGTTTGGAAGAAAAAGAGAGTGATCGGGTTTGACAAGAGGAAACATAAAGAAAAAAACATACAGACAAAGACACACTGCAGCTCTGCAGCAGCAGGTTCAAGTTACTCCAACACGAAGAATAGATTTTATACTTTTTATACAACAGTATCAAAATTACTGTGAAAACACGACAGTTGATCTGTGCTGGAGAAAAAGATCTTTTTAACCTTGAGACAGTCAGGACACTGATTACATGAGAGGGAGATGACCACCTTGTCTGCAAGATAAAGGTGGTCAGTGAAATACATATTAAAGGAGCACTCAAGTTAAGTTTACTCCTCAGGAGGAGATCGACTGACTCAGCCCATGAAAACAGTTAATAATGTCTCCTGTGAATGTGGAGGAGGTTTTTACACCCCCCTCCTTTTAAAAAAAATATGTAAGTGTTGTATTTACACAAAGTTATAAAACTTTATGTAACTGCAACACTGATTCGCTGGAGTATATCTTTAATGTATTTAAAGGTGATTTATTTGTTTAGAAAGTCATAAATGAATTTAAAGCTGGAGTGCGGAACTTTTGTATATCGATGAACATCCATTACATCAAAGACCTGGCCGCAGGAGTACGCACAATGCTCACTGAAGGATAAATACAACAAATAAACAGTAGACTGATTACAAAGGAAGGTTACTGTAAGGTGGTGATGGGGTGGTTGCTTGGCAACAAAAAGACGCAGCAAGTGGTTTTTAATAGTGGCATCAAAAAAAAAAAGGCAGGCAGTGGAGTGCGCCTTGCAACCTGCAGAACACTAACTGTGTGATCAGGGCCTGATTATTATTGCCAGTGTTAGCTTTTGAATTGCCGGAAAGACGTAGACGCACGGCAGGAAATGCTCAGAGGCATCCAAGAAAAGTTTCAGGAGTGGATGTTCCAGATAAAAAATTAAACTTTTAAGGAAGGATTGAACGCAATAAAGCTGTGAAGTGAGCGATCCTGCAGGGATAGATTATAAGCACACAGTGACAATATTTGTGTAATAACCCTCACCGCCAGAGGGGGGAGACAAAAGTTCCACACTGCAGTTTTAAACAACAGAAAAGCACACATGCAATAATATAAATAGACCCCCAAATAAAATACAGAAAGTTATGTAGATACATATAAATAAAAGTTAGAGGTCATTTCATTAAACCAACAGCTGTTTGGTTTCAGATGAACGATACCCCTTCTATGCAGATGATGGTGTGCTGTGTACGTGTGAGTGTGTTTAGCGGATGGGGGCCTTCAGAGCAGCGTCCACCTCCTCCTCTGGCAGCAGCGTGTGCCACTGGGCCACCGGACGCCTGGGATTGGCCAACATGTCTGACCAGTGGCGCAGCCCGACGCCTGAGGCGCCGTAGCCAATCCAGCACTTGCCGATGGGGTCGTTGCTGCCCAGCTTGTCGTAGTCGTACACAGTGATCAGCACCTGGACTTTCTGTAGAGACAGCGGAGGAGGAGAAGCTACCGTTAGACCAGATTCTCCTGTGTGTTTATATTTCAGTCAGGCTGATAGGTGGAGGAACAAACCTGGATCTGAGAGAAGGGGATCTCGAAGCTGAAGCTCTCATTGAAGTACGGATTCAGAGTGTTCTGTTTGACCGACGTCTTCTTCTTCTTCAGTCGCTTCCCGTTGTGCTGCAGCACCACCTTTACAAAGGGATCTGAAAGAGAGAGGTTGTGTTCGATATTCTCATTGTGCGTCATCTTAAAGGACAGAGTCATAAAATTCTGTCATAATCTGGTATTACTTGCCATTTTAAATTTAGCTCCACCTGGCAGATAAACATTACAAGTATTACATGCATGTCCTTCATCCTTAACCACATTACTCCTCTTTTTTTTCTATCTGTTGGGCTCCAGGTCTTCAGTAACATTAGTAATCAACAGGAAATTTTCTACGCTTCAGCTGTGGAGCTGCTGCTGCTGAACATGACTTCTCAATTTTTTACTATCTAAAATGGATCAAATCTTATTTCAATGAAGCTTTACATTGAAATAAAAGGTGGTTGCCAACACTGCATTGTCTGTGTTTGACCAAATAATATACATTCTCTTCACTCTGGTACAATTGTAGTTCTTAGAATACCTATTCTAGGGACTTTTTTAGGTCCTATTTCAGAGTAAATACTCCCTTATATTGGCATTCTAAGAACTATGACAGTTCCTAGTTCTTAAAGTGAGGACACAATGAAAATGGGCGTTCTCAGACTCAATACCAAAACACCCCTCGGTCCTACCACTTAGTTCTTACCCCTCTGTTTTGTGAGGGAATGTCTTAGGGTAGATTTTTCCCAATTGTTGTTGGAATAACAACAATTGGTAAGTGTCAGGGCTACATGGCCCTCCAAACAGAGGTTTTTCGGAGGCACACTCCAAACCGAGTGTTATAAGAGATCACTGGCAAGATGACGGCAAAAAAATAAAGCAATAAAAGAAACCCACAATGGATTTAAAAATTAGGATATAATGCTGGCGAGGACAGCCATCATGGTGAAATGGGTCAGGGACAACCCTCTCTCTGTTTCTTCGTGGTCTCTGAGGTTGTGACTCTGGAAAAATAGGACATTATATTCGTGGAAGGACTTATCTTTTTTCTGCAGAAGTGGAAGGAACTGTTGCTATCTCTTGGTCTTAAATGTAATCTGGACTTACATGGATAAAAATTGGATAAATGTCTGAATGGGGGACACACACAGTAATTACTTTAATTCACCTTATTGTGACTCCTATTTTGCAAATGCAATTTGTTATTTCCTTGGGGCCAGTCCTGTAATGCTATGTAGCGTAATGATTTGTAAGCTTGATTCTTGGGAAAAAAATGTATTTTTAAAAAAATACAATAACCCTTCTTTTTTCTTAGTTTCATGTTGTTTTAATGTATTATGCTCCCATGTTTTTTATAACAAGCGTAACAAAAGAAATTGCTAGTATGTTGATGTCTCAGTAGCTCACTAGCTAGCTAGCTAGCTAACGTTAAATTATTGCTTATTTGTCCCTGACAGTTCTGCATTTAACATATTTCCATGCCACCTGTTTGAGCGCATATGAGGCCTAAAATTTTACCAAAACCAGCAGATGTTGCTGCACTTGTTGCCGCTCCTCTAATATCAGAGCAGACTGGCAGGGTGGGAGCACTGGTTGCTAACATTAGCCTACTTAGCGGTGCTAGCGGCCTGTTAATGAAGCAGCGTTCTTTTTTATTTGATTACTTGTTTGATTTATTGATAGTGTAAAACTTAAGAACAATAATGTCAATGTCCGGCAACACTCTGCGCGTCTGTCTACGTAAACACCACCATTGACAACTACCGATGACCTATCAGGATTTTGAAGGATTAATTCATCCTTTTTCCTCAATAAGGTATCAACCACCACCTCTTGTAACTCTGTACAAGAGGCACTCAAAAATGAGAGGTAGTGGTAATAATAAGAAACAGGATTGGGCCTCAGTTGTTAGAACTATGAAAAAGTTCCTTCGCTCCAAAAATGCCTTTTATTAGCTTCATATGTCCTCGAACTTTTCAAAGTAGTCAAGTAGTCACACAGTGCATACGGTCCGTCTGAAATCAGTTGCAGAGATTAAATTTTTCAACGCACTTTCTGATCTGAACTTTCTGAATGGAAACAAGGTGTTGGGTCTTTGAGCATGTATTTGTGTGTTTACCTGACAGTCCTCCGACGTCCATCTTCTTCAGGTTCTTAGCCTCCATGATGTTAACCGTTAGCTTACCAGCCGTGGGGACATAACGAAGGGAAATGCAGATGTCACCGAGCTTCTCTTGCTGTCAGGGACATAACGTGTACAGGGGTGAGTCGTCCTTCTGCACAGTTCTGTCTTTGCTTGCCTTAAATTCATTATATGCTTCAGTCGACGTCCAAAGAAGTCTCTTACCTCCTCTTTCTCTCCTCCAACCAGATCCCTCCATTCATGTAACGGCTGTCCGAGGTCTATACTGTTCATGGGGATCTTGATCTCGCCGATGACATCATGTTTACCAAATCGATCAAAGTCAAACACCTGCAGCACCAGAGTCTGACCGCCCAGCTCATTGTAGGGGATCTGGAGAGGGATTGGATTAAAAAAAGGTTAACTCAAACATGCTTTAGATGCTTTGATGTTTATGAAGGACAGTTCCTAATAATATGATCAAACAATCTGATGTTCAACATGGTCTCCAGTATCGATCACACCTTAAAGGTGAAGGTCTCATTGAAGACGGGACAGAGGTTCTTGCGCTGGACTTTGGTCTCAAACTTCTTCTTCTTGTCCGGCAGCATGTAGACTTTGACGTAAGGATCTGAGGTCCCTCCCATGTCCATGGCTGCCAGGTCCTGAGCCTGAAGGATGCCGACTATCAGCTAGAAGAAGAAGGAAGGAAAGAAGTCAGAAAAAGAAGCTAGCTTTTCAGAATAAAAGCATCATGTTTGCTGAGTCCGTCTGTCGTTGAGATGATTTATTTCCTCCTCTCTGTGATTGGGAGGTTGGATCCTGGTGTGTGTGTGTGTGTGTGTGTGTGTGTGTGTGTGTGTGTGTGTGTGTGTGTATACCTGGTTATCAGTAAAGTTGTAGTCCAGTGTGAACTCCAGTTTTCCAAAGTTCTCCTTCTCCTCCTCCTCCTTCCCTTCTTCTCCCTCCTGGAAAACACACGGCATGGTTAGCCGTTAACAGACAGCTCACACACTTTGTGTTCAAGATCCTGTGATGTGCTGCAGGCTCCACAGAGCGCTGTGAGTCCTGCTCTGAGGCACATATGATTAGTTTAAGGAGTGAAAGTGACATGACACAGAGTCAAGGTTTTAAATATTTTGCAGAGACCTCTCTTTGTCTCTTTGCAGCTGTTTTGCATCTCTTTGTTTTTAATTCATGTGTCGTGGTCATTTTATGTTTCTTGGTGTTGATCCTGAGCCTCCTTCTGGTTGGCACGTTTAAATGTGAGTGACATTTTGCAGGTGAAAGCCAGGTGGGCCCCCTGACACTTTGGGCCCCTGGGCCTGTGCCTAGCAGAGTGACGCTGCCATGACGAGCATGTGTTCCCAAGTTTTTCAGGGTGCGACGGCTGCACCCACAAGCAAACCCCCAAGAGTTTAGAAACATTAAAGGGTCTTTACAGAAGCATTTATTCTAAGAGCGTGCGTCCTCAGTTACATTTTTTGTATTCTTTTCTTGACGAGAGTTAGATTAGAAGATCGATACAGTCATATCTGTATATCTTATCTGACTCTCTGCAAGAAAGAGAACAAGGGTTAGGGTTTGTACTCACCATGATTTTTTTCAGTTTACACTATTAAACTTTAATTAAATTATTCGCATCCTCAGCTGTTAATTTTAGATTATCTGATTAAGTGAAACTTTACAAACTCTGCTTCCTGAGGTAAATCTGTGTAGTTGTAAACATTCAGCTACACTGGGAGCAGAACTATTGTGTGTCCTGTTTCTCACCTTCTTTTCATCTCCTTCCTCTCCTTCCTTGTCCTTCTTCCTGCGTCCTCGTCCTGCCTTTCTCTCACGGGCCTTCTTCGGCTTCTTGCCTTTGTTGAAGCACTTCTTGTAGATGCAGAATCCCATGCAGGCCACGAGGGCGAGGACCACGACCACGATGGCTCCCACCGCCCACATGGGCACTGGAGAGAGGAGGCAGAGGAAGGAGAGAGGAAGGTTGGTGCTGATGGGAAACAGCGGTGACACTGCCAGGTGACGGGTTAAATTCTTACTTCTGTGTCCACCCGTTGTCACTGTGTCAGAGTACATATATA